GATCTCAGGGTCCTGGGATCGAGTCCTGCGTCGGGCTCCTTGCTCAGCAGGGTTAGGGTTAGGTTTAGTCTCCCTCTGCCTGCCACTCCCCCAGCTATTCCTACGATCTCCTCTCAGTTAATGGTGACTCCATTTTCTAACTGATCAGGCTAAGCACTGTGGTGTAATTCTTCATGCCTTTCTCTCCCACCTCACATTCAACCTATCAGAAAACCTTGCAGCTTTACTCTCAAAATATATTGAATTCAGCTACTTTTCATCACCCTCACTAATCCAAACCACCTCTCCCACCTGGACTACTTTAATAGCTTACTTACTGGTTTCCCTTCTTTGCCCCTACCCCTCTGTTCTCGATATAGGGTGATCCTGTTAAAATAGAAGTTTAAATACATATCTCAGATCACGGCATTTCACTGCTTAAACCTCTCCAATAGGTTCTCATCTCATTCAGAATATGAACCATGTATTTCTTAAAATGGCCTTCATATTAGGCCCTACCTAATTGGCCCTGTCACCTCCCTGACCTCTACTCTTTTCATCATTGTTCACACTGACCTCATTGCTGTTTTTCAAACCCACCAGGCACATTCCAGCTTTGAGGCCTTTGCACTCAGTGCTCCTGCTGGCTTCCTGCAGAATCACCTTCTCAGTGAGGGCTGCCCTGGGCTACTCTCTAAAATTTAAGCTCCCCCACCGTTTTATATCCTTCTTCCCTGCTTTATTTTGTCTCCTTGGCACTAACATACTATATATTTTAGCAATTTATTTATTGTCTGCCTTCCTCATTGGGAAAGAAATTCCACAAGGGCAGAGACTTTTATCTATTTTGTTCTATTCTGTATCCCTAATACCTAGAACATTGCTTGGTGCACAGTAAGCACCCATAAATATTTGTTGAATGAGATTTAACATACGCTTGGATTAAAGGAGGCAGTTAAATCTGGACACCCTTTATACAGAACACAAAATGTAAAGGAATTCAGTGTTCTTGTTTTTTAAAGATTTTATTTATTTATATGTCAGAGAGAGAGCACACAAGCAGGGGGAGCTGCAGGCAGAGGGAGAAGCAGGCTCCCTGCTGAGCAAGGAGCCCGATGCGGGACTCAAACCTAGGACCCTGAGATCATGACCTGAGCTGAAGGCAGACGCTTAACTGACTGAGCCACCCAGGCATCCCTAACATTTTTCTTATGTTTAAAAATTAAATTTACAAACACTGCTTTAAGGTTTCCTGTGCTCAGATGTCCTTGCCATGCAAATTCACAAGCGCTCAGGGTTCAGAGTCACTGCTGCTCAGATTCATTTGTGGACAAGTGGGATGCAAACTGTAGCCCAGGGTTCAGGCAGCTGAGGTTGCTGGCCTTGATGCTATGGGTGGGGGCTGCGAAGGTGGTGTCCTAATGTGTAGACCACTGCTCCTTCCTTTAGACTTTCTTGCCGCAGTGGATTCCTGGTTCAAGGTCTTGCTGCCCAAGTTATATCCATGGCTCTACCACAATGGGGGCAACATCATTAGCATTCAGGTACAAGTTGACCAGGCAAGGGGAAGGAGGCGCTGGGGGTCCTAACCTCCACTGCATAGCCAAGCTCCACTTTTCCTTCTCCCTGGCAGGTGGAGAATGAATATGGTAGCTACAGAGCCTGTGACTTCAGCTACATGAGGCACCTGGCTGGGCTCTTCCGTGCGCTGCTAGGAGACAGGATCTTGCTCTTCACCACAGATGGGCCTGAAGGACTCAAATGTGGCTCCCTCCAGGGACTCTATACCACTGTGGATTTTGGTCCAGGTCTCTTGAGCAAGGGTGGAGTGGAGTCTGGGGAAGGGGGCTGCATCTCTTCTATGTTTATCTTTCACCTTTGCCTCCTTTCTCCAGCTGACAACATGACGAAAATCTTTGCCTTGCTGCGGAAGTATGAACCCCGTGGGCCACTGGTGAGGAGCTGGAGGGGAGGGCAATCAAAGCCAGAGTGAGGGTTGGGAATGGGTCGAGCTCAGTTCCCATCCCGCTCCCGGCTTTCATTCCACGTTTTAGGTGAACTCCGAGTACTACACAGGCTGGCTGGATTACTGGGGCCAGAATCACTCCACACGGTCCGTGTTGGCTGTGACCACAGGCCTAGAGAACATGCTGAAGCTGGGAGCCAGTGTGAACATGTAACTGGAGACACGGGGGTCAACAGGAAGCCGTAACGGGGTGCTGGGGATGAAAATGACTCAGTGGGTCAGCTTTTGCCTTTCCCCCCACCTTCCCCCACTTCAGGTACATGTTCCACGGGGGTACCAACTTTGGATTCTGGAATGGTGAGTCCAGATGGTCCCTGGGGTGGAGGCAGGGAGGCATCAAGGAATTAGAATCCTAGGGCTGGGTAGATTAGGAGGTCTAGAAGCTGGATGTGGCCACCACTGCTCCCTCTGATGGCAAAATTCTCTGCATGAATGTCTTTGCTTAGTGCCTATTGTTTGAAAGACACTGAATGAAGGAAATTGGTTTGACCCCAGGTGCTGATGAGAAGGGACGATTTCTTCCAATTACTACCAGCTATGACTACGATGCACCAATATCTGAAGCAGGGGACCCCACACCTAAGCTTTTTGCTCTTCGAAACGTCATCAGCGAGGTGCCCTACCACTTCATTAAGCGCCAAAGGCTTTTATTAATTTGGGGAAAGGGAGTACCTAAATTGTTTGTAACGGGATCCCATGAATCACTGATTGTTGTCTGGGCCACGGAGCCCTCAGAACCATTTCCCAACTACCCAGATGGGACTACCTGGGAAGATACACACAAGCATGTGCAAAATTACAGGATCTTCATGACCTCTTGAAGCCCTTCCCTGGACCCCAGGTTGAGAACCCTGCGCAAGGGTCTTGGAATTGGGGTTGTGTGCGCTAGGGTTTTAGAATAGGGGTTGTGTGTGTGCTAGGGTCTTGGAATAGGGGTTGTGTGGTTTTCCTATGGCTCCTGAGAGAATTTGGGCTCAGTTCCAGGAAATTCCCTTGGGACCTTTACCTCCCCCCAGCCCCAAGATGATGTTTGGACCTTTGACCCTGCATCTGGTAAGCTCTTCCTCATCTTTTCTCTGATCCTACCCCTTTGTTCTCTAAATGGCCCAGCCTATTCTGCCCTTTATTCCGGAACTTCGCTTTTATTCTAATACCTTCTCCTTATTCTAATAGGATGGGGATTTGCTGGCTTTCCTAGACTTCCTGTGCCCCCAAGGGCCCATCCGTTCAATCTTGCCAATGTCCTTTGAGGCTGTCAAACAGGTAAGGCATAATCCCCCATCCAGTAGGCGTGGCAGCTTTCCTCAACAGCTGTTGCCAGTGGTTCCCTCAGCTGCGCATCTTCGCCACAGTACCCTCTCTCACCGCTCAGTTCCTCTTCAGTACTCACTCTTCCATACCCAGGACCGTGGCTTTGTGTTGTACCGGACCCATCTGACTTCTACTGTTTCGGAGCCAACACAGTTCTGGGTGCCTAACGATGGAGTACACGACCGTGCCTATGTGATGGTAGATGGGGTAAGGACCTAATTCCAGGCTACCTTTTGAGCCTGTTTCTTCTCCTCCCCAGCACGCTTTAGCCTTAAGTTCCCCTTATCTGCCTTTTCCCGCTGTCTGCCCACATCTGCAGGGGGGCCACGGATGAGCTGAGATGAGGAAGAATTTGACTGAGGCTAAGGTTCCAGAATGAATGGGTAACTGACAGATGGGCTACATTCTATTTGCTCTCCAAATACGTGTGCTAACTATCATAGCTTCCTCTGTCATGGCCATGAGTTAGATGCCGAGCCCTTCCTTTCACAGCTCCTCTTATCCACAGGTGTTTCAGGGTGTTCTGGAACGAAACATGAAACACCAACTATTTTTGATGGGGAAAGTAGGGGCCAAAGTGGACATCTTACTGGAGAACATGGGAAGGCTCAGTTTCGGGTCTAACAGCAGTGACTTCAAGGTGAGCTAGCCTTGCCCACCCCTTCTCTTCCAGACTCTTACTGACCAAACTCCCTTGGGAAAATAGGGGCCTAATGGAGGACAAACAAGAGCCCTGTGCTTAGGAGTCAGGCAGCAAAGTAGTCGCTTGTGGGGGTCCAGATATGGCCACCAGTTGCACCCCAGGGCTTGATTAGGCATAGTGTGGATTTAAGAGCTTAATGAATGATAAGTTTTCATTTGCCTTCTTCACAGGGCCTGTTAGAACCCCCAATTCTGGGGCAAACAGTCCTTACCCAGTGGCTGATGTTCCCTCTGAAAGTTGATAAGCTTGTAAAGTGGTGGTTTCCCCTCCAGTTGATGAAAAGGTCACGTCATCAAGTTCCCTCTGGCCCCACCTTCTACTCCACAACGTTTCAAATTTTAGGAGAAGGCGGGGACACTTTTCTCTTTCTACCTGGCTGGACCAAGGTACTGCTGACTGTGGGGTCAGAGTGATGAGAGGAAAATCGTGAAGGAGGGGGGAGCAGAAATTGTCCCTGATTAGAAACCCAAAAGGGAGGGGCTCCTGGGTGGCTCAGTCGGTTGAGCATCTGACTCTTGATTTCGGCTCAGGTGTGATCTCGGGGTCGTGGGATCGAGCCCTGCATCAAGCTCCACGCTCAGCACGTGTAGTCTGCTCGGGATTCTCTTTCCCTCGCCTGCTGCCCTTCCCCCCTGCACTCTCTCTCTCTAATAAATAAATCTTTAAAAAAAAGAGAAAAAGAAAGAAACCCAAAAGGGGATGATTCTACCCCCTTGAGAGCTGACCCTTTTATTTTCCGCTCTCTTTTCTCTTCCCCAGGGCCAAGTCTGGATCAATGGGTTTAACTTGGGCCGGTACTGGACAAAGCGGGGGCCACAAGAGACCCTCTATGTGCCAAGACCCCTGCTGTTTTATAGGGGAGCCCTCAACAAAATCACAGTGCTGGAGCTAGAAAACGTGCCTCCTCAGCCCCAAATCCAGTTTCTGGATAGGCCTATCCTCAACAGCACCTTGCATAAGACATACATCTATTCCCTCTCGGCTGATACACAAAGTGCCTTTGAACCAGTGGAGTTAAGTGGGCACTGAAAGAAAGGTAACCCTTGGACCTGGGACATGGAGTGAGCAGGATCCCTTCGTGCTGGCCATGGTGACCACAAGGAACCAAAGGCCACAAGGCCCAAATGCAAGTCCAAGTGCAGTTTCCTTGCCAAACTTTATTGTGATTAAAGTTCCAGAGACAGTCCCAGCCCCACACCCCTCTGTGGTCCTGTCTTTGCCCTGGTTCCTGAGTGTCCTTTCTGATCTTCCAAATACTCCTGTTTCACGGGAGAGAAGAAACCTAGGGCTAGTGTGAATGCACCCTCTCCGGGCCGAGTTGGCTCCAGGCGCAGCCGTAAGAGATCAGGAAGAGGGCTTGGCGGCCTGGCAGCGGTGATCCCGGAGACAGCGTGTGGAGCAGAAAGAGAAGTCAAAATAGTGAAAGGGAGTGAGGCCTTGGAGGGATGTCCCACAGCTCCAGCAGCGTCTGGACAAGAGGAAGACAGATGGCTGAACAGGTACCCCAGAACCTTTCCAATCCAAGCTCTCCCCACCCCTCGGGCCATTTCCGGTTTTGCTTCAGAGGGTTTCCAGAACATCTCCAGCACCCCCCAGCCCCGACAGCCTTTCTGAGGTACTCGGCAACACTCATCCTACTTGCCCACGCCTGGCCTGGCCATCACGCCTGCCCCTGCACTTACGGACCACTGAGGGCTGCAGAGCCGGGGGTCTGGGGGGTGGGTGCTCCCAGCTGGGCAGCCAGCCGGCGCTCTGCGGCCAGAGCCCTCTGAGGGAAAGATAAGTCTTGTTAAGGACAAGGCCCCGGTGGCGGACAGGGTGCCCAAGAAGGGACAGCTGCACGCTGGGAAGGGGTCAGACCTCTCAGGAAGTCGGGGCTGCGGAAGAGAGAAGCTCCGGCCTCACCTTCTCTCGGTCGCTGAGGGCGGCAAAGCGCCGCAGCTCTTGGTGCTCCTCCTCCTCCTGCTCCCACCGCTTCCGCTGCTGGCCGGCCCGCTGCCGCCGGGCAGCCTTCTGCTCCCTTTTCCGCATAGCCTGCCGTGCCTCCATTTCTGGCGTCAGTGGCCCTGGCACCTGGAGGATTTCGGGGAGGTGTAAGCTAAGACCCATACATACTGTCCTTGGGAGAACTAGAAGAAAGTAGAAAAGATCTTTGCCGGGATCTAGGCTGCCTTCCTACTCTGCTGCCGCTTCTTTTTCCAGCTGACCTGAGCCTTGCCGTAATCGTAAGCATCTGGATTCTTCTCCATGAACCTTCGGAACTCATTACGTGTTGACCTGTCAGCTGCAACCGTATACGGTGGCCGGGCCCGGGAGTCCCTAGGTGCGAAAATCCCCAAATATGGGTTTAGCTTGCCTCCTGCATCTCCCAGTCTCACCCAAGCAGATTGAGGGGAATACCGTCAAGTAGCCAGGACCAACGTTCCAGATGGTCCTCTCTATACCCCAAAGGGCTCACTCGGCTTGGGGACCCTTACTTACTGCACAGTAGGGTCGGCACCTGCCTCCAGCAGCAGGCGAACCACTGAACCTCTCCCAGCTGCAGCTGCTGCATGTAGGAGGGTGAAACCACTGGAGCCCAAGGGAGCACTGAGCAGAGACAGAACTCCAGGGCCTATGGGGCCAGCAGCTAGCTGGAGTTTCAACATCCCAACATCTCCGGCTCGACAAGCAGCTAGAAGCATGTCCCAGAGCTCTGACTGATCAGGGGTCTTGGCCTCATCCAGGGAGGGCCCCAAAGGGGCTGCGTGTGCCTGGGCAGACTGTGAGAAGGCCTCAACATCTCCTTGAGGTTGCTGGGGAAGAGTCCCATGCGCCCAGGCTTCCAGGTCTCGGCTTTTCTCCTCCTTATTCCTTTTCCTCCTCCTCCGCTTTGGCAGTACCTCAAACTCACGAAGATCCAGGGTCCCCATGGTCAACTCTACTAGCTCCAACTCTACCTGGAAGCTGTCCTCGCCCTCCGACCCTGAACCTAGGGAAAAATGCTACATGTTAGGCCCACCTAAAGAAATACACAGAGGTTGGAAGGATGTGGGCTGCCCCAGATGTATAAGAATGTACGTAAAAAGAGAATCCAGACTGTCTTGAAATGAAAATAAGTATTTGTATTTTGTCACCCAAGATCAGCACGTCAAGAGCTGAATCCAATAATATCACATGCAGAAATGAGGCTCAGCTCAGAGGGGAAGACCCAGCAGGAGGTACGGAGGGACAAGCGTCCTTAGACTCTCCCCTTGAGCTGCATTAGGATGGTACACAACAGGGGAGAGCATGGGAGCACTGACAGCCACAACCGCTGAGTCTGCAGCGGGGAAAGCAGGCCTCAGTCCAAACTGCAGCATCCGGTGAGACGGCAATTATGTGAGATTCGTGCCACACAAGCATCTGCTTCACGTATTATTTCATGTTTTCTAAGTACTGGGGATACGGGGATACATCAGTGAACAAAACAGAACAGGAAGTTTGGAAAGGTCGCTAAACCTGTCTCAGTAATTGCTACCAGGTGCCCCTTATCATAACAGACCTGTGTGTGTGTGTGTGTAATGGTGTATGTGTTGTGTAAGGGCTCATTATAAAGAGAGAAGCAACAGCAGATTTGACACTGCATTTCCAGGACAGACACCCAGAGAGAGTTGACAGTTGCCAGATGGTGCTCAAACCCTGTTTGGGAGATTCCTCATTCTGCCCAAGTGCCTCATTTTCATCACTGGAGACCTTTCTTTCTGCCTCGATAGTCTTCTTCCCCCCTCTCGTCTTCCAGTGTGTCTGAGGTGAGTCCAACCTGACTGTCTCCCGGGGGTCTTCTCCTGCCATAAAACAAAAGATGTTTCTCAAGTTTAGCTGAGCAGAAGCCAGCCCAGGTCTCTCTCAGTGAAGATGTTATCTGGGTGTATAAATGAGAACCCAAGCCTTGGGCTGGAAGGTACAAGAAGGTCTAGGGAGTCTGGGGATCCAGATCAAAAGCTCACCATGGACATGCAAGGTGGTCAGCTTATGGAGCACACGCTGTAGCTCTCGGAAGATGGGTCTGCGGGTAGCGAGGGGGATATCCCAAAGTCGGGGATCCCCCCGTTGCAGGGGTGCCCCATGGCCTCCGAAGAACAGGGACCGGCCAGAGCGAGGAGCACGCAGCAGTATTGTCCCAGCCTCCCCCAGCGCTTTAGCCCAGACTGGCCCTGCCAGCAGGTCACGAACATCCTAGAGAAGAGAGTAACTCAGCCCCATGTATCTTCACTTGCTAATTTTAAATCTCCAACCAAAAAACCAGCCCACAGATGATGTGTAAGGAATGGGAAGCAGAAGATAATATAGAGGAAGAAAGAATGAGAGAATGAAGACTCTTGGGGATCCATCCCTAGGCTACCTTCGCCTTCCCAGAAATAACGAAGACTGGGAGGATGCAGGCATCAAGCTCCCCTCTGTAACATTTGATGAAAGGGAAAAAAGTAGATTAGCAGACCACCAGATCTGAGACACCTAACTCACCTTGTATAATGTAGCTTCATTATAGCGCCTCAGGTTGGCTCCGGCAGAACGAGAAGCCCCACCCCGGGCATCCCGAATTCCCTGGGCTGTGCCCCGCTTGGCCCGCACTGTGTAGCGGTGAAAGGTTTTGTGGGTCACCACGTCTCTTCTGTAGACAACACAGACTCAGTGCTGGAAACCAGCCCGTACACCCAGGCTAACCAGACCCACTGCATCCTTATACCCCAGGCAGCACCCTCTCACCCTTGGAAAATGGCTCCAGCAAAGTGCCCAGCTGCAGCCATGAGCACCACAGAGTGTCTGGGACCTCCGTTTTGCAGGTTGTGTAGCAGCAGTTCAGGTTCTTCTGGGGGCACCTGGATGACAGAGGGACAGCACAAGCATGCCCGTGGCGCTCACTCACAGGAAGAAACCGAGTGCCAAGTGTCTTACATGCGTGATCTCATTTCTTACAACCATCCTTGAGGCTTGTCTCCACTTTACAGACAAGGAAATTTGAGGCTTGTAGAGGTAGTCAAGATCAAGTGGTAGAACAATTCAAACCTAGATTGGTCTGTTTCCAAACTTAATTCCATTATACTGGACCCCAGATTCAGGCCAATTCAATCCAAGACTGTGCTGTCAGTGGTGATACCCATATCCAACAGGAAGAAAAGAAGAAATGGCCCAGGCTTAGGGGAGACCTAGGCTGAGTGTATAAAGGCTGCAGTTGGCCACACAACCTGGGCTACCACTTGCCTGGTGAGGGCCCAGCACACAGCGATAGGCATAAAGAAACTGGCCCCGAGCATTTTGGAAAAGAACCCGATGGGGGTGGAAGCCTTGGGGTCTGCTGGGCTTCTCAAACTCAGCCCTCTCCTCATCCGGTATCTGCAAGTCCTCCTCACTGGCTGAGTCTGAGTCCTCTGATCCTGAGATGCTGGAAAGATCTCCTGAAAACAACATGAAGTGCACAAGTTTGGTGTGCTATCTTTGACCTTTCCTCAAGCTCCTAAACTAGGGCCTTCCTCCATCCCCATGTCCTACTCAACACAGGTCTCCTACCAGCCATCACCTGTGGAGCTCTGCTTTTCAAAATCCAGGGCAGACAGGAGAGGCTTGTCCTTGAGACGTTGCTTTAGGTTAAACCGATGCCAGTCAAGCTTATAATGTTCCCTCTGGTAGGAGGCAAAGAAAGAGGCTGAATGTGGAAATATGCCCTAGTCTGGCCCTTTGTGGTACCCAAGACCAGTGACAGAACTCCAGGAAGTATGACCAGGTAATACCAACAGCCTCAGTCAAAACACCGACCTTTATTAATGAAAGACAAACCACATGTCTGCCTCTCCTCACCCACCCTATACTTTTGCTTCTGCCATTTAGCTCTGCACCTGGCCTATTACCTGTTCCTGGTGGTTGTGGAAGGTCTGGTCACAAGTGGAACAAAATAACTTGTCTGAAATATCCAGCAGACCCTGGAGTGGTTTTCTTTCTGGGCTTGCTCTCTCCCCTGAACCTAAATAAGGGGAGGGTAATAAGAGGTGGAAAGGGAATACAAACCTGCAGTACCTGGAATTACATTCAGTGTCTGATACACAAAGGAGAATACAAAAGAAAAAGATGGCACATCCTTTCCTTCAGAGTTTGCAATCTAGGAATCAGGAGATAAACAGCACAGTAATCACTTTATACAACAAGTATGCTTCTGAAAAGATGTGAGACAAATACATATCAAATACTTGACATTAACTAAAGAGATTGTTTAGAGGAACCCTGTAGAAAATAATTTTTGGTAACGTTAAGATTATTTTTAACTGCAAAAACCGCTTCCCAAATGCCTGTGTTTTTTTTTTTTTTTAGCTTACATTTCCAATTACGGTGTGGTTTGTTTAAAAAAAAAAAAAAGTTCAAGAAGAACAGCCAGAGGCAAATTAAGGTTGTAAAAAAACAAAAAAATTGTTTTACATTCATTAAGAACGAATGATTTGATTGGAAACCACTTAAATTTGGACTATATCTAGGAATTTTGAAGTTTTTTGCAGGCAGCGCTGTAAACGTGACCAGACCTAAGCAATGGCAAGGCAAGAGGCTTGTCTGGAGACAATTCGGGAGCCTGTGCTGGAAACAACCCGGAGATTGAGTGAATTGAAGATAAATTTTATCCAGTAGAAAGAGATGTCAACAAAGGCTCTTAAACCGGGGAATATCAATAAGAATGTGTTCCCTGGACGAGCAATAAGCTCTAAAGAGCCTGTCACGTTCCTCGTGGGTCCTCCCCAAACCTTCCCAGATACCTGGACAGGAAGTCCGCAGAGACTGGGCCACAGCCTCCCCAGAAGGGTGGCTCACCAGGCTGAGGCCCTGAAGGATCGGAGCATCCGCGTCGAGGTCAAAGAGGGAGACCAACGTAGGAACCTGGGTTGCTGCTGAAACCGGCGACATGGCTGAGCAGAAATTCTTTAGGAGGAGCTCCTGGAGCAGAAAGGGACAGAAACAGAGCTCCCCAGAGTGCGATCCTACCGCCCGGTCTCCTGCCTGCCTGACTTGGTGTCCCCCACGCCGCAAGGCACCTCGGGCCTCACTCTGGTACCAGGAGTCCGCTCTGGGGGTTAATACGTGACCCCAGGCCGCTTTCTCAAACCCACAGTCTCGGACCACACAGAGTGAAAGGGGGAAGCATCCAGCTCCCAAATCGAGTCCAGTAGAGCTAAAAATCACTGAGGTTCCCTAAGCGGCCGCTCCTCGATAACCGCGCGATGAGCTCCAGCAATGACTAAACCGCGTGGACTCGCCCCCACCCTCAGGAGCCGCACCAAAGGTCCCGGGGAGCAGAGCGGCACGCACGTCTACAATTCCAAGCCCGGATTTCTGCAACACCACAACAGTCTCGTCACTACGGAGCAGCGAAGGGGACAAACGGCGTCGCCCGCACCTCAGCCCCGCCCCACATAGCGCGCACTATTGGTCCTCTGACTGTCCAAAACCCACTTCGAACCTTTAGTCCCGCCCCCGAAGCCAGGTATTGGCCGTCGTGTCTCCACCCCCTATGCTCATTGGCCAGACTGGCTGCGGGTGACAGTGAGTGGCAGGCGCCGGGCCTAGAGCTCCGGGTCCCGACGAACCCAGCGGAGCCGACCGAGCCCCTGGAATCACTCGGGTCACGGTTCCTGAGGTGAAACGCGAGATCGGTTACTGGAATCTCAAGGCCCGGGTCGGGCCTGACGGAGGGTGCCCGCGGAGCCCTAAGTGAGCTCACGGCGAGTAACGGGGGGAAGGGGCGCCGCGGGAGGGGCGAAGGCGCGCAGCCGGAATGTTTTGATGGCGGGGGCGCGCGGGCGGGGGCGCGCGCGGGCGGCGGGGCCGCGCGCGAGGTTGTCCGCTGTTGGGAGCCGAGCCCTTGGCCTGGCGCCGGGCGACCCTGGGGCGCGCTGGGCTCGGGTCTTGGCGGCTGGGTGTGGGGAGGCAACCCAGCCCACCTGGGTGATCGGCTGTCGGACTAGCTCGATTCTTCCAACATCCGCAGGAAACCCTGAGCCCAGGCCCGGCCAGCCGGGGCTCCATGACGCTGGGTCCACACTGACCCGGTGAGTGGTGAACTCCCCGAAGGTTTGGTCAGCTACTTTGGACCCAGGGCTCTCACTAACCCAGGGAGTCCCACTGGGGCCAGGCTTGGGTCGTGTTCCACGGCCCGAGGGTCTGCACCGACTGGGTGAGTGCCGCCTAGACATGCCTGGCTCCAGGGACCTAGGGACCCCACAGTTCGCCCAGGATCTGGGTCTGCACGGACCCAGTCAGGATTTCCCATCCAGGAACTATGCCTGCCTGGTGGGCCTTTGGTGCTAGGGAACCAGGGGAAGAGGTTGATCAGAAAGGCCCTTTTCAGAAGAGACTCTTTTTCTTGGGTTTTGGATTTGGGGCTTTGAGGACCCCGAGAGGCCTAATTTCTGAGGCTGAGGTGGGGCGATGGAAAAACAGTCCAGAGGAGCTGCCTGACCTCAGGCCTGTACTGACTCAGTTTTTACAGGCTCAACAAGCCACTTCTTGGGATCCTACAGTTGGATGAGTGGTCCTGTATGGTACAACCAGAGGAAGTACATCTAGCCCAGTGCCTCTTCCCCACTGCAGCCTCCCTGCCCCATGCTTGGCCTCCTCTTAGTGGAGGGTGGGTGGGTAGGAGGGTTGGGTTTCTTTCTATCCCCACTGCCCACTCTCTGGGGCCTGACATCTTCTCCTCCAGCAGCTGCAGAGCGAGGGCATCAAGGGCTGGAGTGGAGCAGACGCTGCCCATGGAGCTGGTAGGGCCATGTGCTTATCTCAAACCTTTGTTTACAAAATGCTTCCAATCTCCCAGAGATCTCTTGGGAGACCCGGGTTTCTCCAGGAGGGCAGAGGGAAGCCCCCTTATCTCCACTGAGTAGAAGATGAAACAGATCCCCGAATCAGGAGATAAACAGCACAGTAATCACTTTAAGCGGCAGACCAGCCAGACCTCAGTAGACACTCAGTAAAGGCTCTGGGAATGACTGACCTTCCAGACCCTAAGCTTACTGCTCTGTGGTAACTATTCCTCTGCCTTTGAGCCAAGAAGACTGGGAGTAGAGACCAAGCGCAGGGATTCTTTCTCACTCTTTCTGATCTGCTAGGCAGGGCAGGAGACAAGCAGCAGCACGGTCTGAACCGGGATCTCTTCGTCATTCCCGGCAGGGGGACAAAGTGGACAGGGGGCGGTGGTGATGGCGCAGTTTGACACTGAATACCAGCGCCTTGAGGCTTCCTACAGTGATTCACCCCCTGGAGAGGAGGACCTATTGGTGCACGTCCCTGAGGGGAGCAAATGTGAGTTCTCGGACCCGACAGCGGAACCGGGGCCTGGGGCGGGAGCGGGTGGAGGAACAGGACGGAGGCACCTGTTCCTTCAGGGCTCTGACATCTCTACTCTTGTGCCCACAGCACCCTGGCACCACATTGAAAACCTTGACCTCTTCTTCTCTCGAATATCCTTTGTGTCTGCGTGGGAGCTCTGGGACCCTTAGCCCCCATCTAAGCAGGGCCCCGGTGGGAAGTTGGGGTGGGTTTGATTCTAATCCCCGGAAGGGAGATGGAACTCTTCTTAAGGCTGAAAGAGGCTGGGGAAATGAGGATCATTGAAGATAATGATAAGCCTGCATTTCCCAAGAGCTGCGTGCCTTTCACTTTGTGGTGTCAGTTCATAAGGAACCTCTCTAAAGGTGATCTTTCTTTTTGACGGGACGCTAATAACTATAATAATTAATATCTTTTTACCTACTCTGTGTCAGCTCTGTGTAAATACTTTACGCTCATTATCTCATGCCTAATAATCCTATGAGACGGGTGCTATTATTTCCAAAGTGCCACTGCAGACGAAAGTTGAGAGAGATTAGGTTTGGCCAAGGTCACACAGCTAGAAAGTCATAGAGCCAGGAGTTAAGTTCGGGCATGTGACCCCCAAAGTCTGTGCCCCTAAGTGCTGTCTCTGTCAACCACATTTTTCTTGACAATTATACGTTTATAATCTACACCAGAAGAATGGCTTCACTTGCATGCTCATCGGGGAGATCTTTGAGCTCATGTAAGTCTAACGAGGGACAGTGATGTGGGGAAGGACCGCATCTCAGCCTTTCCTCTTCTTGAGCTCAGCCCTGGCCATACCAGCCAGTGCAGCTCAGTTCCCGGCTCAAAACCCTGCAGACGAATTTTAGAGCTCAGGGACCGAGTGTGGCACCAAAATTTACAATCACTTTTTTTATCTGCCTTATAAGGAATTCTTCCCAAATTCTCTTCTCTTCCATGAAGAGAACTGAGACTTGACCATTTCATCAGCTCATCAGCGATCCCATGGGATGGGCGTGGTTCGGTCAGGAGGTCTCAGAGATGCCAGCCACTTAAGAAAAGTGTGTGTTCTGCCTTAGTTACACCTAGGAGGGCAGAGCACTTTCTAAAAAAGGAGCCATATGGCCTGGCCAAAGAGGATGGGATTGGGAAACCCTCCCTCAATCAGGAAAGACTGTAAATCCCTTTAGGGCTTCTAATACTATCTCAAAAGGAAATCAGGGATTGGGTAGCAGAGACCACAATCACAAGATCTTTGAGCTGAGTCTAGTAAGTGGTGGCAGAGATTACTATGCAGTGAGGAAAGCAGGCTAATTGTGTGACGCCCAAGGCTAAGAGGAAAAAGCGGGAGCTGGTTTGGGCCTAAGAAGGTCTCGGGGGCTGAGCAGCAGAGAGAGCCCACTGGGAGTTCTCCAACCCCTGCTCATCCCCAGAGGCTGCTCTCCAGTCTTGTTCTGCTGCTTCCAGACTCTTCTCTTTTCCCACACTATTTCACTGGTGCCTCTCTGACTTTTGGAGTGTGGCCCCTCTTCCCAATTCCCCAGGCAGTTCCTCTTTGTGGTTGCCTTCACCACCTTCCTGGTCAGCTGTGTGGACTACGACATCCTATTTGCCAACAAGATGGTGAACCATAGTCTTCACCCTACTGAGCCTGTCAAGGTCACTCTGCCAGACGCCTTTTTGCCCGCCCAGGTCTGTAGTGCCAGGTAAGGGCCACAGCTCGGAGGACACCAGAGCCAGAGTTCCGCTAGCAGGTGGGGAATGGAGTGGGAGGCGGTGGCACATTCCCCAGAACACAGACTCGGGCTCAGCCTCGCCATATCCTTCAGGATAGCATCCTGTCGCCAAGACTCCTCAAGGGCCTCCCCTTCCCCCCCGCCCTTCCTTTTCCCCACCAGGATTCAGGAAAATGGCTCCCTTATCACCATCCTGGTCATCGCTGCTGTATTCTGGATCCATCGGCTTATCAAGTTCATCTATAACATCTGCTGCTACTGGGAGATCCACTCCTTCTACCTGCACGCTCTGCGTATCCCCATGGTGAGACTGGAGAAGTTGGGCAGTTAGCGCGCCACAGCCCAACGTGCCTTCTGCGGCTTGGGAGGGGTGGGGCGTACTGCTGGGCCTCGGGCACCCCCCTCTGTCACTGGCAGGTCAAGGAGCCTCTGCTTAAAGGCTCCACCGAGCAAAGCACAGGGCCTCACAGCTAATGCGGGGCGAGGAGGAGTCCAGGCAACAAGCCCACCTTCCCTACCGTGTCTCTCTCCCACCCCACAGTCTGCCCTTCCGTACTGCACGTGGCAGGAAGTGCAGGCCCGGATTGTGCAGACCCAGAAGGAGCACCAGATCTGCATCCACAAGCGCGAGCTGACAGAGCTAGACATCTACCATCGCATCCTCCGTTTCCAGAACTACATGGTCGCCCTGGTTAACAAATCCCTCCTGCCTCTGCGCTTCCGCCTGCCCGGCCTGGGGGAAGCCGTCTTCTTCACCCGTGGCCTCAAGTACAACTTCGAGCTGATCCTCTTCTGGGGACCTGGCTCTCTGTTTCTCAATGAATGGAGCCTCAAGGCCGAGTACAAACGGGGGGGGCAACGGCTCGAGCTGGCCCAGCGCCTCAGCAACCGCATCCTATGGATCGGCATCGCCAACTTCCTGCTGTGCCCCCTCATCCTCATCTGGCAGATCCTCTATGCCTTCTTCAGCTACGCGGAGGTGCTGAAGCGGGAGCCTGGGGCCCTGGGAGCACGTTGCTGGTCCCTCTATGGCCGCTGCTACCTCCGCCACTTCAATGAGCTGGAACACGAGCTGCAGTCCCGCCTCAACCGAGGCTACAAGCCTGCCTCCAAGTACATGAATTGCTTCTTGTCCCCTCTGCTGACGTTGCTGGCCAAGAATGGTGCCTTCTTCGCTGGCTCCATCCTGGCCGTGCTGATCGCCCTCACCATCTACGACGAAGACGTGTTGGCTGTGGAACACGTCCTCACCACCGTCACACTCCTGGGGGTCACCGTGACCGTGTGCAGGTGGGCCAGGGCGGCAGGCGGGGGCAAGCCAACTAGCGCCCCTGGGAAAGGCTTACCTCTCACCGTGACCCCGATTCCCACAGGTCCTTTATCCCGGACCAGCATATGGTGTTCTGCCCCGAGCAGCTGCTCCGCGTGATCCTCGCACACATCCACTACATGCCTGACCACTGGCAGGGTAATGCCCACCGCTCGCAGACCCGGGACGAGTTTGCCCAGCTCTTCCAGTACAAGGCAGTGAGTGGAGTTGGAGTTAGGGCCTCTTAGAGACTGGCTGATAGCTCGGTGCTGAGGGCTGGGATCCCTCCTGCTCTCTTGTGACCTGGGTCCCCCCTCCACTTTTAGGTGTTCATCTTGGAGGAATTACTAAGCCCCATTGTCACACCCCTCATCCTCATTTTCTGCCTGCGCCCACGGGCCCTGGAGATCATAGACTTCTTCCGCAATTTCACCGTGGAGGTCGTAGGTGTTGGAGATACCTGCTCCTTTGCTCAGATGGATGTTCGCCAGCATGGGCATCCCCAGGTACCGGGAGAGGACAAGGGCAGGTGGCCGGAGGTGAACAGTGTCTCTGGGCCGACTGCAGAAAGACACTCCTCTGAGCCAGTGCATCACTAAAAGGCAGCCCTGCTTGGTAAATAGGAGCTTGGGCTGGATTTTAGCCTTCAGCTTGCAACCTCTGGCCAAGTTCCCTTGAGAAAGGCACAAACCAAGCAATTAGCCCAGCGTGCGACCGTCCCTGGGGTGGGCCCCGGGGCTCTGGACAAGATACGGCAGTCCCCCTCACTTAGCCTCCCTTGTGCAGTGGCTGTCCGGTGGGCAGACAGAGGCCTCGGTGTACCAGCAAGCCGAGGATGGGAAGACAGAGCTGTCACTCATGCACTTTGCCATCACCAACCCCGGCTGGCAGCCGCCGCGTGAGAGCACGGCCTTCCTCGGCTTCCTCAAGGAGCAGGTTCAGCGGGACGGAGCAGCTGCCGGCCTCGCCCAAGGGGGTCTGCTCCCTGAAAATGCCCTCTTTACGTCCATCCAGTCCTTACAGTCCGAGTCTGAGGTGTGTTCCTGGGGACTGGAGCTGACAGTGGGCAGAGTGGACTCCAGGTGCTGGGAGTTGAGGACTGGGCCTGGGGTGGAAGGGCCTACCTACCCGGTCGGTTTCCTTCTGTCTGTTCAGTCTGTGCCCTGACATCCAGAACACTGAGGGGCCCTGTGGCCTCCCTCCTGCCCTGGGAACTCTATCCACCCCTTTCTTTCACAGCCACTGAGCCTTATCGCAAATGTGGTAGCCGGCTCATCCTGCCGGGGACCCCCACTGCCCAGAGACCTGCAGGGCTCCAGGCACAGGGCTGAAGTCGCCTCTGCCCTGCGCTCCTTCTCCCCTCTGCACCCTGGTCAGGTGCCCACAGGCCGAGCTCCCAGCACCATGACAGGCTCAGGGTGAGTAGGCGGGGGGGGCACGATGGGAGGGCATGGCAGTAGCCCCCAGCAACCTCTGCGGGTCTCAGAAATGTTGATGGCTGCTGTCTGTGCTGGGAGGGACAGGGTGGATGCCAGGACAGCCAGCTCCGGGAGCAGTGTGTGGGAAGGACAACTGCAGAGCCTGGTGCTGTCGGAATACGCATCCACCGAGATGAGCCTGCATGCCCTCTATATGCACCAGGTGAGTGGGCAGGAAGGGCCCAAGCCACGGAATCAAGGTGGCCGCTGACAAATAGAGGATTTTAGGAGTGGAAAAGCTAGACGTGGGTTCGGAACCCTTCTCTGCCGTTCCCCTACTCTGATCTCCATTCCCGCATATACCCCTTTACCATCCTTTTTAGCCAAGTTTATTGTCATCCAGGGCCCTTTACACATTGGTTGTTTTCACTGCCAAGAATCCACTTCCCTGAGCTAGGCATATGGCTCCCTCCTTTATTCACCTGTTCTTACCTCTTCCGTGAGACCGTCTCTGGCCAGCCTGACCAAAAGAGCCTCCCTTGGCCACCCTCCTGAATCTTCCTGCTTTATTTTTCTCCATAGCATTTATCTGACCTACTGCATTTTTTCCTTTTTTATTTCATTGTCTATAACCGCCCACCTCCACCCCCAGCATAGAAGCCATACAAGGGCTGGGATTTTTGTCTGTTCTGTTCACTGCTGTCTTCCCAGCACCTTGAAAGAGTGCCTGGCACTTACATGTGCAACCAATTTGTTCTTGACTCAAATGACTAGGTTCCAGGGATCTGAGAATTTAACCTGTAAGACGTCATATGTGTGGTACACACTGTTAACGTGGTAGTTACTCTGGGTCGCTGATTCTAGGTGAGGTGGTAAAAATGGGAACTGGAGGATAGCATGGTGGGGGGCATCTGTTTCAGATATCCTGTCCCCGCCTAATGAGCGCCCCCCTCCACCTCTCAGCTCCACAAGCAGCAGGCCCAGGCCGAACCTGAGCGGCATGTGTGGCACCGCCGGGAGAGCGATGAGAGTGGGGAGAGCGCCCCTGAAGAGGGGGCAGAGGGCTCCCGGGCCTCCCAACCCATCCCTCGCTCTGCTAGCTATCCCTGTGCTGCAGCCCGGCCCGGAGCACCTGAGACCACCGCCCTGCAGGGGGGCTTCCAGAGGCGCTATGGGGGTATCACAGGTATCCAACGGGAGTCCAGGAGGGTACAGAGCCTTCAGGGAAAGGTGGCTCTTCGGGGGGCCTCCTGGGGAGGAAGGAGGTCAGAGCGATCAGGCCCAAAGAGACTAACCCTCACCCCGACGCTGAACAGCCCCAGAACCTTTCTCCACATTTCTGCTTGTGTTCATTCTAAGAGGACATTTACTTGTGTCTCTAGATCCTGGCACAGTACCCCGGGCTCCCTCTCACTTCTCTCGGTTGCCCCTTGGAGGGTGGGCTGAAGACGGGCAGTCAGCATCCAGGCACCCAGAGCCGGTGCCGGAGGAGGGCTCGGAGGATGAGCTTCCCCCTCAGGTGCACAAGGTAAGGGCTCCAGGACCGGAGAACGACTACTACTGGAAGTAGTAACTTTCAGGCCGAGATCAAAGTCTCATGTAAGAGAAGGCAGGCCGCTCGTACAGAGATAACTGTTCCTCCCCCTCCAAAATACAATGCCCTTTCTTGCCTCACCTTCTCTGAAATCCAGGGCTTGATTTTCCCTACGATTTCCTCCCCAGGAATCAAGCTTTCCTTTTCCTTTATCTCCAAGCTGTTTTTTGGGTAAGCAGAGAGTGGAAGATTATCTGCACTACTAACCCGTTTCTCTCCACAGGTATAGACAAGGCTGAGGAGGGTCCCTGTGTCCCAGGATGGAGGCCGTTGTTGCCCTGCCATCCCATCCGCCTGCCATGGAGGGCTCCTCTTGAGTGTTGCCTGGCTCCACATGTGTGGTGTTTGTGTGTCTGTGCCTGGCCAAGGGAGGTGCCAACGCTGGGCTTGCCACAGCCCCAGGAGAGAAATTGGGGGCCCAGGAACCAAGGCACACAGGACTCTAGCCTCATCCCCAGGAACCCCCTTGGCTCAGAGTGTGGTGCTAGAAACTGGTCCCCAGCCCAGCCCCAGTACTGCCACCTTTGCACCCACCCCTGCAAGTCTCCAGAGGACTGCCCACCACAGAAGCTGCCAAGCAGGGAGAACCCGTGCCAACTGTGGAGTGGGGAGGTTGGGCCCAGACCCTCAGCCTCTGCAGCCTCCCTCCCCCACCCTGAACAGATGAGCAGCTCAGGCTGTGGCCCTTACCTCACCCCCAGTTCTCTCCCAGTGCTGCAGCCTGCTCACTGCTCCCGCTTCCTGCACATGACAGGCACGTGTGCCGCTTGCTCTGGTTCTGTTCGCTTGCTCCCATTCTGTTCGGCTTTTGCTTTGCATTGGTGCGGAGGCCCTAGATCCCAGCTCCTCTCATGCTATCTTTTGACACTAAGAAGGAAGGTTTCTAAATTGCAGGAGCAGGGTGGACTTTCTTTGCTGCCCTCTCCCAACTCTTAGGATGGGCCCCTGGGAGACTGGGGCCGTCCTGGTCCCCATTGCTGCTTATTATACTCCTTACCGCCTGCACATAGGATGGACTGGACTGGTTGTGCCCTCGGCTGTCTACCTCCCAGCAGGAGAGCTCTGGCCTGCCTCCCGCTGTCCTCCAGAGGGGGTCAGAGAGACGACAGGAGGCCTTCGCCCTAGGCTTTGAGATGCCGCATTGCATGCTGGGATCCAGCTCCTACTCTCCATCCCACCCCTCGCCCCGATCTGGTCCCCTGCGGGTGTGGTCAACTGTGCTGCCCGAGCTCGCAGCGGAAGGCGTAGGAACTGTGTACAGCTTGATAACCCTTAATAAAAAAGGGACTTTGACCAGGTCGCGGCTTGTTGTCTTGCGCCGCTGGTTGTCTCTCGGCGCTAGGATTGTGGGAACAAGCGGAGTGGGGTGCGTGTGATATTCCCTAATGGCCGGGGACCCGGCCGGGTCCTGTAGGAAAGTGGGCAGTCTATGCCGTCACTTGGATATACCGAGCTAGCCTGCTAGCGGAAGGGTCATTTCCTAGCTGTGGTGCCGTGAAGGTCAAGGTCTCAGGCCGGACAGGCGGTCAGATTTCGCGCCGTGAGCACGTGACCAAGCCGACTCCGCCCTGGTATTTTGCCTTTCCCGCGTGCACCCTCCCCCTCCCGCCCCTTCAGAGAGGTTGACCAATAGGGACCCTACGTAGGGGCTGGGGCCGCCCTGGTAGGCGGGGCTGCTGCGCGAGGGAGCTGCTCGGGTCAGACGCCGAGCATTCCTTCGGGCCGGGACTTGGCAGTAGGGTCCCAGGCTGTGAGCGAGGGGCGGACGGACCGGAGAAGACGGCGTACGTGCCCTGCGTGAGTGCGTGGCGGCGGCGCGTGCGCGAAGAGTGGGTAGTGTGGCCGGGCCCACGTGTGTCCCCACCTGAGACCTTCGCGGCTTGGCGCCCCGCGGCCCCATGACCCCAAACACCCCACCATCCGCGCCCCGCTTGGAGCAGCCGGTTCCGTTTGCCCTTCTTGCAGTCCCCGCAGGCCCCAGAGTCCCCGCAGCCGCGGCCAGCGGCCACGCATCGCCATGGTGATTGTGGGCAACTACTGCGAGGCCGAGGGGCCCTTGGGGCCGGCCTGGGTGAAGGGGGGCCTGAGTCCCTGCTTCTTCTTCACGCTTATGTCCTCGACACTGATGGCCCTGGGGGCTCTGGCCTTGGTGCTAACCCTTGCCTACAAGCGCCGGGAGCGGCCAGCGGGCCCCCACGAGCTGTCCTGGAGCGCCGGCCCTCTCGTCGCTCCCTATGTGCTGCAGCTGCTTTTGGCCACACTTCAGGTGGCGCTGCCCCTAGCCGGCCTGGTTGGCCGGGTGGGCACTGCTGGGGGCGCCCCGCTGCCAGGCTACCTTCTGCTGGCTTCCATACTGGGGACTCTGGCCAGCGCCTGTGGCCTGGGGCTGCTCGTGGTGGAACATAACAAGGCCTGGCAGAAGCTAGCAATGGGCATCTGGATCGAGTTCAGGCACAGCTCGGGTCTCCTGCTCCTCTGGACTGTGGCATTTATAGCTGAGAACTTGGCCCTTGTGTCTTGGAACAGCCCACAGTGGTGGTGGGCACGGGCAGACTTGGGCCAGCAGGTAAGGGACCTCGTGGGGAGAGGAGAATCATGAGTGGCGAGGGCTGGGAAGAAGGATGGTATGTCTGGTCACACTGGTTCCACACTTTGGGATGCCTCTAAGAAAGGGAAGAAGGGGGAGGCCTGCATGGCCTGGTTGCTGATAGCCAGCTGGTGGGGTGTGTCTGTGCTGAGTCACTCTAGATTTTTTTAAAGCCTACTTGATGCTGGACCCCTGACCTGGGTATGTGCCCTACCCCAGTCCCTAGCTCTGTTATAAGTGGTAACAATGGCATTTTGGCCTTCTTTGATGCTCTCTGGACACATTTTATTCTAGGTTCAGTTTAGCCTGTGGGTGCTGCGGTATGTGGTCTCTGGAGGGCTTTTTATCCTGGGACTCTGGGGCCCTGGACTTCGTCCCCAGTCCTATGCCTTGAAGGTTAATGAAGAGGATCAAGACGTAGAGAGGAGCGAGGTATGCCTAAATTTCTGAACCTTAGGGTCTGTCTTAATTTCATTGCCTGTCCTCATTTTTTCCCACCATAGTATTTCTTTCCCAAATCTCAGTTTGTGCCCTGTGAGCCTTTCTGACCTCACTGGGGATCACTTGTGGGTCTGAGATAACTGGAAGCTGTAATCCCATACATTTTCCCTAGAGGGGTTCGGCTAGGCCACTTCTTTTTGATTTCTGAGCTCCCCTCCCCTACGTGTTTGACCATCCTAGGTTCAGTCAACAGAGGCACCACCAAGATCTACGTGGCAAGACCTTGGCAGGAAGCTCCGCCTACTGAGTGGCTACCTGTGGCCTCGAGGGAATCCAGTTCTGCAGCTTGTTGTGCTCATCTGTCTGGGGCTCATGGGGTTGGAACGGGGACTGAACGTGTTGGTCCCCATCTTCTATAGGGACATAGGTGAGGGGAAGAAGTGCCCGCTTAGCTCTCTGGTCCTTCATCGGCCATGTGAGGGGTGGGGGCCCTAATCTACGAAGGTGGGACAGTGTGAGGAGCTGGAGGATCAGAAAGGGGATTGTGGTGGTGCCTGGAGCAGTTTCTCCCGAAGAGAGCCCTCGGGGCCGGAAGTGGGCTCTGACTTATTTTCTCCGCAGTGAACTTGCTGACTGAGAAAGCACCGTGGAGCTCCCTGGCCTGGACCGTCACCACCTATGTCATCCTCAAGTTCCTCCAGGGGGGTGGCACTGGCAGTACAGGTATGAGGGACTCTGCTGTCACTCTGGTTGTCATTGGCCTCTCCCCCTCTTCCTCCCCGAAGCATCCCTCCCCTGGCCTCTTGGTGTTCTCGGACCTTTCACATCTTGGAAGTGGGCTGATGTCATTTGGTCCCTCAGCTCTACCGAGGCCTCCCCCCGGCTCCCCCTAGGCTTTGTGAGCAACCTGCGCACGTTCCTGTGGATCCGGGTACAGCAGTTCACATCGCGGCAGGTGGAGCTGCGCCTCTTCTCCCACCTGCATGAGCTCTCCCTGCGCTGGCACCTGGGACGCCGTACCGGGGAGGTGCTACGGATTGTGGACCGGGGCACGTCCAGTGTCACAGGGTTGCTCAGGTGCCAGGCCCGTGGAAATGGAGTGTGGGACGGTGGGGCTGGAGAAAGCACCCAGCTTCAGCTGCCTCTCCATCCTCCTTTTAATTATTTTTTTTTAAGATAAATATACACATGCTGCCATAATAACACAAATAAAACAGAACAAGTATCTTATAAATTCTACTCACTTCTTCAGAGGTTCCCACCCCATCTAGGATGTTGAGTTGTGCTCTTCACACTTGGACATACGTATGTGCACAGACTCACGGCACTAATGGGGTACTAGGGAGGGTTTCTGTAAAACACCTAGGGTCACGACACAGATGTCATTCAGAATTGCCTTATTAACAAAATGGTACGGAGACGTCTTCTTCTCCTGCATGAAGATCCTCCTAATTCGTTATAACTGACCCGGCGCATTCTGTCCTTGGGGCCTGCTACCGTTTATTTAGCCATCCACCTGTTGAGGGGCATTTAGCTTGATTCTAGTCAGCTGCCACTGAAAAACAAAACACCACACTGAAACTCCTGGGGGCAGAGCTGCTGGCTCCAAGCCCCTAAACCTTCCTTTGTTGCCTGACTCACTTTCCTAGCTACCTGGTGTTCAACGTGCTCCCCACGCTGGCTGACATCACCATCGGCATCGTCTACTTCAGCATGTTCTTCAACGCCTGGTTTGGCCTCATTGTGTTCCTCTGCATGAGTCTTTACCTCAGTGAGTGCTGTTTGGTGGAAATGTCTCCCTGACGTATTCTGGGGACTTCCTTGGGCACGAGGCCTGCCCCTACTCAGGTGGCCCAGCTAGGAGAGGCTGTGGATTAGTGGACTTGAGTAAGCTGCTGCTCCCCAACGTGATGGGTGGGCCTTCTCCTCTGCCAGGGGGGCTGTAGCTCAAGCCGGATAGAGGGCCAGGGAAGGCATCCTGGTCACATTAGGGGCCTGCTGTGGGTTCAAGTCAAGGAGAAACCTCATTTCTCTAACGAGATGCAGCTCGCCTTCGTTTGGTCACCAACAGCATTTTCACACATGAGGCTTTGTGCAGGCTGCAGAGACGTCTCAGGCATAGCCCCTTCTCTTGGGGAGCTTAGGGCTCTCTCCCTTTGGGATCTGGGTCCCTGGTCTCTAGCTCAGGGTTCGTGTGTATGTGTCAGGTAGTGAACACCCCCCTGTGGTCTCTGCTGTCGGGAGTGATGTCTTGATCTCTTCTTTGCCTTCCTCCCCCTCCTGTCACTCTACAGTTGTGACCATTGTGGTCACTGAGTGGAGAACGAAGTTTCGACGTGCTATGAACACACAGGAGAATGCTACCCGGGCCCGAGCTGTGGACTCTTTGCTGAACTTTGAGACGGTAACAAAGGCCTTGGAGGCAGTAACGTGAGGCACGGAGATATGAGGCAGCGTGGCTGGGACCAGCGGGGCTGCCAGGGAGCTGTGAGGGGCTGGGGGGGCGGGGGCTGGTTTTTCAAATGAGGACGGAGGGAGGCCTGCCTGGCTCAGTCAGAAGAGCATGTGACTCTCGATCTCAGGGTTGTGAGTTCTAGCCTCATGTTGGGTGTAGAGATTACTTAAATAAGAGTTTAACAAAATAAAGAAAGAAAAGATAAAATGAGGAAGGAGGCACTGGGAATCTGGAGGAAATGATCCAGGTGTTCAGGCTGCAGCCTCGTCTCATATGGTGGCTTGACTTTGTCAGGTGAAGTATCACAACGCGGAAGGTTACGAAGTGGACCGCTATCGAGAGGCCATCCTCAAATATCAGGTGAGGATGGTGAGGATGCTCGTTTGACGCCAGCTAAGAGCAGTGGCCTAGCCTCGCAGAATTGCCAGGGTCAAGAGGAGTACAACTTGGGCTGAAAAAGTGAGGTTGAAGATGCCTGGGGGCTCAGGTTTGGATTTGGTGAGAGTGTATATGTGACATGCCACCCCTCCGGCCCCCCCCCCCAGCGTTTGGAGTGGAAGTCAACGGCTTCACTGGTTTTACTAAATCAGACCCAGAACCTGGTGATTGGACTCGGGCTCCTTGCTGGCTCCCTGCTTTGTGCATACTTTGTCAGTGAGCAGAAGCTACAGGTAGAGGGAACTGTGCTGGGGACAGGGAAGAGGGGCCCCGGGGCCGTGTCTGGGCCCCCAGGTGCCTGGGGGGAAGTGGGCAAGGTGACAGCACATGGGCGGGGTTGCCAGCCCGTAGGTCTCCCGTGACTCTGTCCTCCTCCTGGGATCTCCACAGGTCGGGGACTTCGTGCTCTTTGGCACCTACATCATCCAGCTCTACATGCCTCTCAACTGGTTTGGCACCTACTACAGGTAACCTAACCTGATTGCCGACCCTCACCTGTCCGGGGTGCATGGTTATTTCCCCAGCTCCTCAGAGGAGCCCCAGCCAGCGCTGTTTTTGCAGGATGATCCAGACAAACTTCATCGACATGGAGAACATGTTCGACTTGCTGAAAGAGAAGCCAGAAGTGAGTGAAGCGCGGGGTGTGGGAAGCAGGAGTCTGCGTGGTGTTCCGGTGTCTGGGGAATAGCAGACCTATAGTGGCAGCATGCATGGGTGGCACTTTCCTAGGTGAAGGACCTCCCTGGAGCAGGGCCCCTGCGCTTCCAGAGGGGCCAGATTGAGTTTGAGAATGTGCATTTCAGCTATACCAGTGGGTGAGTCTCCCTTTTGCCACCTCCCAGCCTCCTGTCCCGTCATCCATTTACACATGGCCACAGCCCCCACCCCCATCCCTGCTTCTCAGCCCACCACTGCCCAGAAGGGGAGCCTTCTGGGGCAGGACCCAGGGGAGGGGCAGGGCCCAGGAGTAGCTCTGCTGGTGGAAGGAGTCCCTGGGAGTGCAGCAGGCCTGCTGACCATGCCCACCCTTCCTTGCAGGCGAGAAACGCTGCAAGATGTGTCCTTCACCGTCATGCCCGGACAGACACTGGCCCTGGTGAGAGAAGACCCAGGCACTTGGCCCAGACTCCTTGAGTTTCCCTACTCCGGTGCTCATGGAAGTTTGTGACCCAGGCTGTGGAGTCAGAATCCTGTCACAACAGGCCACAGGATTGAATGTAGCAGCCTCGATGGACACTGGTGGCTTCTTGGAGAGCAAGCCTTAAAAGCGGTAGGCCTGAAAATGTTTTCCCTCTGTTTCCAACGCACCAGGTGGGCCCGTCTGGAGCAGGGAAGAGCACAGTGTTGCGCTTGCTGTTTCGCTTCTATGACATCAGCTCCGGCTGCATCCGAATAGATGGGCAGGACATCTCACAGGTAAGGTTGCTAGGGAGGAGATGGTGATTTAGGGGCCTGTGTGTGAAAGAATGGCTCTCTATGAAGTGCTGGCCACTCTGCAGGGAGAGAAGATGTCACCCCTACAAAAAGCTGCAGCTGGAGATCTCAGCCTTTCTAGCGCCATGTGACCTACCCCAGTAAAGTAGTCAGGGGCATAAAAAGCATCTTCTTTCTTTATAGATGGAGAAACAGACTCAGGGAGGTTGAGTGATTTGCCCACACAGCTAGGATTTGGGATGGTGGTGACAGGGTTCCTCTACCTCATCCCATGTGCCCCGCCCCCCCCAGCCCATCTTACCTCCCAGGCCAGAGGGTGGGCGTAGGGCAGTCTCACGGTCTGGGCCATACGGTCTTTTGGCTCCAGGTGACCCAGATCTCCCTCCGGTCTCACATTGGAGTCGTGCCCCAGGACACCGTCCTCTTCAATGACACGATCGCTGACAACATCCGCTATGGCCGCCTGACAGCCGGGGACGAGGAGGTGGTAGCTGCTGCCCAGGCTGCGGGCATTCATGAGGCCGTTATGACTTTCCCTGAAGGTGAGCTTCCCTGCAGAGAGAGGTCCTGCCCTGCCCGATTCAGTCCTGCTGTTCCCTGCAACCCTCTGTTCCATCCAGTCCTGCTCATCTGAGCACAGAAACCAAATGTGTTCCATGTGACTTGAGGGAGGCGGGCAATATTCACAGGATACGAGACGCAGGTGGGCGAGCGGGGACTCAAGCTGAGTGGTGGGGAGAAGCAGCGTGTGGCCATTGCTCGCGCCATTCTCAAGGCTCCAGACATCATTCTGCTGGATGAGGTGAGGGCCCTGGGCAGTCCGCTCCCCTCCTTCCTCCCTTGCCTGTGCCCAGGCCATTTGCTGCTGGGCGGTGGCCCATCGCGGATAGACAGCATGAATCCCTGCTTCATAAAAACACCTTACAGTCCTCGAATGCAGAGCAGGTTCTTTTTGATTCCCGAGATCTCAGCTAGCAGCTTGTATCTTCTTCCTTCCACGGGGATTTTGGGTGTCAGGGGCAGGTTTACCCAGATCCTCTCTGTAGGCAACATCAGCACTGGATACATCTAACGAGAGGGCCATCCAGGCTTCTCTGGCTGAAGTCTGCGCCAACCGCACCACCATCGTCGTGGCGCACAGGTACGGGACCCCAGGCAGCGGGCACCCCCTTGTGGTGTGTGGTGCGTAACACAGCTCTGATTTCTCAGGCTCTCAACTGTGGTGGACGCGGACCAGATCCTCGTCTTTAAGGATGGCTGCATTGTAGAGAGAGGACGGTAAGGAACAGGGCGGAGCCTCTGAAAGCGGGGGTGGGGGGAGGAAAAGGTGAAGTCCCACGAGTGTCTCGGAGGGAGCTCCCTGGCCGATCCCTCTCCTCTCTGTGGGCTGGTGGTGAGGACTCTTGGGGTTAAACGGTAGTTGGGACTTGCACTTTCCTCCTCCTCCTTGCCCCAGGCACGAGGCTCTGCTGTCCCGAGGCGGCATGTACGCGGACATGTGGCAGCTGCAGCAGCGGGGACAGGAAGAAGTCTCTGAGGACACCAAACCCCCAGACTGAGACCGGTGACAAAGCTGTGGCCACGTCCCTCCCAAAGGATAACTCAGGGGAGTAAGATGTACCCCGTTTCCCGGCATGTTTCATCCCCGTGTTGGGGTATGGTGCTGGCTATAGCTGGGGGAAAGAACCTTTCGGAAAAGCACTTTTTGGGGAAATAAAAGTGTGGACTATGCTAGGATCCTTGTGACACTGGTGTGGGGCATTGCAGGGGGGCCTCTACCCTTAGGCAAGGGGCACATTCTTGACAGGACTCCTCTGGTTCCGGTTGGAAAGGAGAAAAAAACACACCACTTGGAGGTCTTAGTGACTGCCAAGATCCTTTATTCCTTCCAGGCCCCTCCTTGCCCCCTACAGATGGGGGCAGCCTCAGTGTAAAGGGGATGACATGATGCAGGGGGCTGTCCGGGGCCTGGCCAGCATTCGCCAAGGGCCCACCCACCAGACGGTTCCAGCTGCTCTCTTCCAGGGCCTGCTGTAGGCTTGGCTCCACAAGGTGCTCCTCCTGATGCTCCCTGGGGGTGGCCTCCTTGTCTTCACTCCTGGCTGCTCCCAGCCTCCTCTCCCTGTGTACCCTAGAGGTGTGGGGGCCACAGTCCTCCTCAGCTGAGCCTCCCTCCCCAAGCCCAGGGCCCTAGCACAGGCTGCAGTTGGACGGCTTCAAGCTGCGGCTCTGGGCCTGGAGCAAGAAAAGTGGAAGGAAGGGAAGACAGGGCGCGACGTCAAGGAAATGAGGGCCAGTCCTCACTTCAGAGCCCAGTGTGGGCGGAATACCCTAGAGGTGTGGGGGCCACAGTCCTCCTCAGCTGAGCCTCCCTCCCCAAGCCCAGGGCCCTAGCACAGGCTGCAGTTGGACGGCTTCAAGCTGCGGCTCTGGGCCTGGAGCAAGAAAAGTGGAAGGAAGGGAAGACAGGGCGCGACGTCAAGGAAATGAGGGCCAGTCCTCACTTCAGAGCCCAGTGTGGGCGGAAGTCACACCAAAAATGAAAGGATAACCACCATTCCGAAACTGTCTGCCACTTGAAGAAAGCCCCTCCCACGTCCTTCGCAGCACAGGACCTGAGCTCTCCCCCAGTCCTCATACCTGCTGCTGTCGGTATTCCGCCTCGCTGGCTGACAGCGCTTGTGCTAGAGCTAAGTCCTCTTCCTCCTGAGAACTGGGAGGGAGGAATAGCGCAAGTTGGATGACAATACCACCTAAAACGTGAGCATCTGATCTATTAGGCATCCCTGTGCTGAGCGCTTCTGAGTATTCTCTCAGTCTTTCCAGAACCCTACAAGGTAGGTAGTGATATGGTCCCATTTTAGAGAAAATTCAGAACCCTCATGGGTTCAAGAACTTGTCAAAGGTCATATAGTTAATAAGCTGAATTTTGAGCCCAAGTTCTTATTATCCTACATGGGGTTGAAGTGGTCCCACCGCCCTCCCTCCAAACTGAGCCTTTGCCCACGTCCCACTCTTCTTTCACCAGAGGAGGTACCTTGGGACCTGGGGTTTGGTCTCTGCCAGGGACAGTTCCAGGGCTCTTTGCAGAGCCTCATACTCACTCTGCAAAAAGGAGAAAGAAAACCAGTTGCCTTGGACTTTATTCTCCCGGCGGGGGAGGGTTTGCTTCTGCCACCCCCCCTGAGCTCCGCCCAACTCACCAAGCCATTCTGCAGAGCAATCACTGGGGGGGCTGACCTGGATGGAGACTGGGTTGTTGCTCTACGGCAGACATTCAAGAGGCTGAAGTCAGAGATGTGAAGGGAAAAAAGGGAGAGAAGATACAGGTAGGCCTGCCTACCTGCTGGGAGAGGTAGATGAAGGCAACGTCCGACTTGGGCTGGGGACGGTGCTTGTCGAAGAACCCAGACCTTGTGCTCTGGAGATGGCGGCAAGTCTGTAGGGAAGAGACACTCTTGGCATGCCTCCAAGAACAGTCAGCTTGCATGTCCTCCCAGGCATTACCCAGGAAGTCAGGAGGGGAGTTCCTCCAGTCTGGAAAAATACGCAGTTGAATAGGAAGCTAAAATAGACTCCTCCAGCCAAAGGCAACAGGTTTGCAGCTCCCCAACTTGTAACGATAGAGGCTGAGTCAGTTTCAAAAGGATGGGGTGATCCCAAAGGCAAGTACTGGACCTGGTTGCAATTACCCTGGCCGGCTGGTTGGGTGACTCTCCCCAGAGCACTCATGGTCCAGTGGGTGACGGTGCTTGATGCAGAAGTTTCCGCCACAGCGCTCACAGGTCAGTTTCATCATTTCCCGCTGGCGGCAGCCAGAGCGTTCACACTTATTGGTGAAGATCTGAGGTGCAGAGGGAAGGTTTGTCTCTGTTGAGACTCTGACCCCGTTCTCCAATCCATCATAACAGCTGTTCGGGTTTGCAAGCATCCATGGTCCCAGCTGGGTCACGGCTAACCCCTCCAACGCTTACCTTACGTTTTTGCTGTGCTGGATCTGAGCGACAGTCTCGGTCGATGTGCTCCCCCACAGCGCGGTCAGGGGGCTCCCCTCTGGCCACAGGCACAGGCACATTACAGAGTGGGCACACAGGTACCTGGATATCCTAGAGTTAAGAAGGAGTAGGAGTCAGTCTGTGGCCCGCTCCCAATCCAACCAAATCTCTGGTCCTGAAAGAGCCTCCCTGAAAGAACCCGGATATGCCTCCTGTAAACGCACAAGGAAACAATGTTTCCAGCACTGAGCTTCAGAAAAACACTAACGAGAGGAAATGGGAGGCAGAGGGATTCCGGAGATGCTACAAGCATCCTCCATCCGCCCCCTCCCACCGTCAGACCGCCCCCTCACCTTCTGGTAAGCAGATCCACAGTGATGCTGGGCGTAGGCCACATGGTCTGCGCAGAAGATGCCGGAGCAGGCGTCGCACTTGAGCGGCAGAAAATCTGCAGGGAGCGGGTCGGACTGCAGGTCCAGCGGGACCTCGACGTCATTGCCACTCACTCAAGCCTTCCACTCAGGGGAAGGGAAAACGCCGCCCAGTTTGCAACAAACTGCACCCGGTCCTAGGCCACTATCTCCTTAGCCACGCCCCCTTAGCCACCGCCCCCAACTTCGATTCCCCGCCCTCTGGCAGTGCCAGCTTGGGAGCCCACCCTTGGGAGCCCACCCTTCGCCCCACCTGCAACTCCAAGCCCCGCTCGGCCTGGCCCGGCCCCCCGCGCGCTCCGCCCCTCACCCAAGCGCTGACAGCTCGGCTCGGAACAGTGAGCCCCGAGGTCCGGAAACTCCATCGCCGGGCCGGGCGGGGCCTGCTGGCAGAGGACGCGGTGCTGAGCGTGTCTAGGGCTCCCGCTCCTGGTCCGGAGCACGACGCCGCACTCCAGGGGGCTGCTGCCCCGCCCCTCCCTCTCCCCCCGCCCTGTCGGGGTTACCGGAGCCTCAACCCTTCCCTGCCAGCGACTCCCACTCCTCCCCCGGCGCGCGCGGGCGTGCTGACGTCATCGCGCAGGGCGGGCACGTCCCGCGCAGGCTCCGGGCGGCGGGAGGAACCTCCCCTGCAGAGCCGAGTCCCGCCCTCCCCTGCTGGGTGAGGCGGCGAGGGGGTGGGTGGCCGCGCGCCGCTCGGGGAGGGTGGGCGCGGGCTAAGCTCCGGGACGTGCCAAAGCGCCGGCTAGGGCGAGGATACGTGAGATCCTGGGGAAGGAGGGCTGGGGTGGCTTGGGGTCTTTCACAGTTGGGTCCCTCGCCCGCTCCCCACTCCAATACTTTCGCTCTCGCGCTTTCGTTCACTGCCACAGGGGCTCTTACTGTCCACGAGCTGACGACTCCCCTATTTCCTCCCAGTGCAGATTTCCCCTGGATCTACGGATCCTTCCTCCGGGTTTACCTCTGGTGCCCTTTCTGTAAGACTTTCCTGACCCTCCCCAGTCTGAGTTAGGAGCACCGACCGTGTGATCTCCCCGATTCTGTGCTAGCGCCCATATCACCTTATTGTAATAGGCTGTTCACACACGCGCACATCAATGTCCTGGGAAATCGGGGACCGCCTCTCTCTTGTTCTGGGTCCCTAGCACCCAGCGCACTGCCTAGAATTGTGTGGTTTTGTTAATGTGGGTTTGATATGAGTTCAAAAGTTGTTTTTAGAAGTTGTTTTGACATAAGAATGAAGTAAGTTGTGTCAGGATGTCATCACCTCATCTGTTCTCACAGGTGAGAACTCAGTAGTAGCTCAGCTGCTGAGGGGCCCCTCGGGGCTTATTAATAAAAACATACGAAGAAGCAACTGGATGACATATGCAAAGACATGACTTACAGGGCAATATATATACATCTCAGGTACCCCCAGTCTAGGGTGGACAAGTATTCTTTAAGTCAAAACCTGAAGGGTGAGTGGATGTTGGCTAGGTGAAGGCCAAGGGGGAAAGGAACAGAGTGGAAAGAGATGGTATTCCAGGCAGAGGAATTGGCAGGGACAAAGACCTGGAGATAAGAGAGAGAACGAGGTCATTTAGATGAGCTTTAAGAAAGCTAGGGGCTATGCGCAACTGATAAATTATTGAACACTGCATCTGAAACTAACGATGTACTCTATGTTGGCTAATTTAAATAAAATTTAAATTTTTAAACTTAAATAAAAAATTTAATTTAAATAAAAACAAAAAGAAAGCTTGCGGCGTCCAGATCTTAGGTACAAAAAGCCCAGTCTGGCAGGAAGTGAAGCTGGAGAGCTAGCAGGGGCCAAATTAGCTCAGATAGTGGAGGCCACAGCAGTATTGAGAGTTTCAACATAAATATAACAAGAGACTAGAGATAGCTTTAAGCAGGGAAGTGACATGATCAGGTTTGTATTTTGGGAAAGTCACTCTGGCTTCAGTGTGGAGAAGAGATCAAGGGAAGTATGAGATTAGAAAAAGGGAGACCAGGTAGGAGGCTGTTGTAATCCAGGCAAGAGATGATGGCCTGAACCAGGGTGGGGGCAATGTTTAGAATTAGTGAGAACTCAGGGCGGGGGGATGGGTTAGCCTGGTGATGGGTATTAAGGAGGGCACGTTCTGCATGAAGCACTGGGTGTTAAACGCAAACAGTGAATCATGGAACACACATCAAAAACTAATGATGTAATGTATGGTGATTAACATAACTTAATAAAAAAAAGAATTAGAACTCAGTAGAGAGTTTAGATATGAGATAGATATTTTAAAATAAGTAACTTTCCGATATATCACTGAAGGGATAA